GCTGCTGCTACTTTACACTGGTATTCTATGAGACGCTTAGAATTGCAATTATCATTTTCGTTTACGGCATACTTTGAAATTAATAAATAGAATCTGGCGTTACTTCGCGGAAGTCCATTATATTGAAGTTGGTAAAAAATTACTTCGCGCACATCCACTCGATAAAATAAAATGATATGTCTTACCTAGTTTGAAGAGCACCTCCCATCCTCCCTCAATTGCGTGCACTATCACCGTCACCACTTAGTGGTCAGTCACCGCAGAGTCTAGATCACCTGAAGATGCCTCGTGTAGAGGCGAAAGACGTGTCGTATATATATCGTAAGTGGTGTGTCTTTCCTAGTTTTTTTATAGGATAGGGTGACAAACAAGCACAGATTCCACCTGATGGTAAGTGGTTGCTGCACCCATAGACGTCTACATTTATCCTCGTTTGCGAATCAAAATGCGGATACGTTGTCTCCTAAACTAAAATGAAATGCCTCTTTTCCAGTAGAAAGGGTTTCCGGTTCTCTACACTCACCATAAGATACACAGCAGTGTTAAGCTGCTATTTTACGCTGGTATTCTGTGAGAGCGTGGTCCTACCCCGGTTGAGCCGACCCATTCGTGCTACAACTATACTACTAATATAGCTGCAGCATGGCTCTACCACGTAAAAAAGTAGTGTAGTGGTGTTGGGAGTAGTGCTGCTGGGATTAGTGGTGACGGTGATAGTGCCGCAATTGAGGGAGGGTGGAAGGTGCTCTTCAGACTAGGTAAGACACATCATTTTATTTTATCGAGCGGATGTGCGCTAAGTAATTTTTTACCAACCTTAACACTTTGAAATTTACAGCGAGCGCTTAGACCCCGAGCTTCCATGACTTTTACCACTTCTATAGATTTACCACTGCCTGTTTGGACTTGTGGCCGTAAACACGATTGCTGATGATGTGGTCCCAGGTTCCGATCCTGGGTCGGGCCGGATTAAGTTAATGGGTTGTCCTGTCAAGAAGTTTTTTTTTGTACGTAGTAGGAGCCATGCTGCAGCTATATTTCTGGTATAGTTGTAACACGAATGGGTTGGATCGACCGGGGAAGGACCACGCTCTCACAGAATACCAGCGTAAAATGGCAGCTTAATGCTGCTGTGTTTCATATGGTGAGTGTAGAAGAGAACCGGAGACCTCTTTTACTGGAAACGAGGCAATCCACCTTAGTCCTCACGGATGACAACGCATCAGCATTTTGATTCGTAATCGAGGATAAATATAGATGTCTATGGGCCACAGCAACCACTTACCATCAGGTGGACTGTGTGCTCGTTTGTCACCCGTATTATATATATAAAAAAGTTTTCAGTAACAGCCCAATCTGGAAGTTGGCAGTGTTTCACCCCCTGCCTCAAAAAGCATGTAAAGCCGTTTGCAGTGCGTCTGATCTCTCTCCGGTCGTGTGTTATCGTTCCATTGAACTATAAGAGAAGGGAGTTCACCTGTGCTTGCGCATACTCATGGGCATAATAATCCTGTCCTGCGCCGATGTCTAGTGTTATCAGTGATTGTTACATTATTTCTATCACGAATCTTTATAAATAATTATTGTATAATTATCGTTTTTGTTTTATAATATTATTTTTTAATTATCAAATATAATATAGATTAAAAGTTACTGTATTGTCATAATAATTATCATTGATAATTTTCTGTTAATTTCTAATTTATAATTTGAGATATTTACTAAGAATATTATAAAAGTTTTTTCCCTTTCTAACTTCTAAACATTCGTGATTAATTCACTCGTCAGTAATATTTATAACAGTGCTTATTTTCATATTATAAAAGTATTTGGATTGTATAATTTTTACACATTCAAACTGTTGCTAAGTACAGTTTTTATATATAGTAGGGATAAGCTGCGACCATTATGGGATATTATAAAAACGATTGCAATAATTATTGAATTTTTATTCGAGTTGTGAACTAGTAAAGCAAACGACAAGTAATCAAGCGTATTACTACCCTTCCTGCGACTCCTGTAATACTAGTTTCCGTTAAGCCTGGCCATCGTGACCGAAATTTGATCTGGATGACATGATAGTAATATCGCAATCTATCGAGAGCTATAAGAATTTTGTGGCATTTCATAATACGCAGATAATAATTTTTTTTTATACTTACGCCCTAAGGTACTTACACTTGGGCACTATAATCCTATCCTGCGCAGATGGCTAGTCTTCATTGAAACAAGCCACCGTTACCAAAATACGGCCCGAAGAACATTATTTATTATTAAAACACGTGTAAAACAGCTAGACCGACAAAGAAAAGCAGTTGCAAAAGTTGCAAAAGTTGCAAACGTCTGGTACTAAGTGTTCACTTGCGTTGATTTGCTATGTTTACAAAAGTTAAAAGTCAATTTATCAAAATAAAATCGTTGCGTTAGAGTCAAGCTATTCAAGAGCCTATTAAACTAGTGAGGCGTTTATCAAAGAACAGAAAACACTCAATCAAAGCCACCGCGTGTTTAAATAGACCGCGCTTAAGGAAGAGGATCTCAAGATTGTTTGGCAAGTTCAAGACCAGTTTAATGTGTTGCGTGAATAGCCGTTCTATGTCAAGAGGCTTTTTTGTGTAAAAAGAATATAAATTATTTTTAAATTTACACGTGTTACAATTATAGCACGCATTGTTATAGACAATTTTTGTTATTATGAAATATCTATAAAATAAAAAACAACCTCTTATCAATTTTAAGTTTTTAATTCTCGTCATTTCCGGTGCTTTCAACACGCATGGTAACGGGAGCGACTGAGGTGTTTGACGTTCCGATGTCATATGCGACGCAATTCTGCGTCGAACAGAAAATTAATATTTCAAAACTGTTTATTATAATTATTGAGGTATAAATATATTTTTCTCATCTAGCTACATAGATATATAAAAGAAAATTTTAAATATGTATGTAATATAGTATAAATATATAAATAAATAAAAAGCCAACCAGATGGAAGCCCTCAGCAGGGGAGACTAAACAGCCGAGGGTTAAGGGGAAAGGGAAAGAAACCATCGGACGATGTAGGCAGTATGAAGGAGCAACGCCTTCTGCATATGAGCTCGGAGCGGTCCATCAGGGAGTCCCTGTTGCCTCAGACGACCAGAGACGCTGACCGGTATTTGCACGTTCGCAGAAACGACTACAGTTATAATTTCAGTCTGCGGAATACTCCACATGTCAGTTGAGTATCCAGGTGGGGAAGAAGTTCCGAAGAGTGCGTTTAATCACCTTGCCAATGACCGTGTCAATGAAAAGTGATTGCTTGGTTCCACTACCATCGACATATGATTTAAACCCAAGTGACGAGTAATTCGCGCGTGGAAAAAATGGATGTCAGTGTCTTAAGCCGCGTATCCACCAAAAATTTTGACAACAGTTATGTTTTCAACTGTTTCCAACAAGCGTCTCCCGAAGGAACAAATGTTTGCAACATGCGTATTCCTTTGATGTTGCCGCCGAAAATGGAAACACGGTTCCCGACATTGTTTCAAGTTTTGTTTCCAACTGTTGTGTTGGCAACAAAACTTTGGTGGAGACGCGGTTTTATATATATATGGTTGGTAGAAAAGTGATTAGGTTATTATTATTATTAACCTGTAAATGTATCACAAATTTATTTTTTTGAGAAATAAGTAAATAGTATTGTTGTACCATATGCCATCACTATTCTACTGATATTAGATTAATTTCGAAATTAGTTCCTTTTCCGGCTTCCACACGGATAATGCTGCGGACAAAAGCTAGTTAAATACAATAGCAACGTTCGATCACCTTAGTACGGGACGCTAAATTAAACCAAACATACTATATAATGTATGTTATATGAGTATAAAATGATATTTTTCTTTTTTCAATAAGAATATATTAGAGATTTTCGGGTAAAATAAAGTCTACAACACTCCTGGCATTTCTCTATCTGTTTGTGAAATTTAATTCCAACCGGTTTAGCCATTCCGAAAATTATGCCGGACAGATAAACAAACAAAAATATTAAAATGGTTCTTTATGTGTTAATAGCATAAGAAAACCTCCTGAGATTAATATAATCCAATTATGCTTTGTCTTGCCTGCCAGTATGAAGTTTGTTGATGCACAGTAAATCTATACATATAATAAAACTGTAAATAGCAGATGTCTGTACATTTTATATTTTTGTAATAAAAGTGATTGAGGGGTACTAAAAATAAGTAATTAAATACATTTCTACCATTTTTAGAATTTTCTGTCTGTCTGTCTGTCTGTCTGTCTGTCTGTTTGTTTGTTAACGTATCACGTATAAAGTACTAATTTATATCATAAGAATTGTTAAGGAAATTATAAAGTGTATCTTCGGGTTACATTTAGTCTTTATTTCATTAAAATCAGTTCATTCCATCAAAAGTTATGATAAATATTCTGAAGTATGGGTAGGGAAGTATAGGTACGAATTTGCTCAACGGTGGCTTTGTTTGAGTCATCAAGTGCATTTTAAACTAATATCATATCATAAATCATAGTTAAATTATGTAAAATAATGATATAATTATGTATATCTAAAATGCAGTAAACAAAAGTATTAAAGAACGTATTAAATATTATTATATGTATAGATATTATACAAAAATATATTAACCTTATTAACTAAATCTGAAGCACAATAGTTAACCCATTTCTTCGATAGATGGTGGTGTTGTGAAAATGTAATGAAATTGCAATGTGGTTTTTTCCTGTAGATGAGTTTTCATATTTACTGCTAATCTTTATTATATTACTCGCTGCCCTACTGCGTGTTGACAAACTCAATTTATTTTTTACCGCCGAGTACTCTATGTGGTAAATCAAATTTTAAAAGAGCTATTATTTTTATTTATTTATTATTAAATGTACAAAGTTTGGTTTTTTAATATGCATATTCCCGCAAAACTGCTTACGCAGTTTATCTGCAGGAACATTTGAGTCTCATTTACATAATAATGTTAAAGTTAAGCACTAAGACTAGCCAATAAATATTGCTTTAATTTGTTTTTAAATATGTTTTTTACTGGTTCACGTCGAATATCCTCAGGTAGTGTATTGAGAAAGTACGGTAGACGTTTCTTTAAAGTTCTATCCCCGTAGTAATTATTTACTTTAGGTACTACAAATTTGCCTGCAGATATCGACCGTGTACCCTGACCATGCTTAACTAGTATTAGAGTACGTTCTCGACAGTTGTAATTATTTAAGGCAAGTAAATACTTATGTTTTAAACTTACTGGAAGTATTTTGCAGATTTTGAACAATTTTGTGTAATCACCTTTACAGATATCTTTAGTTTTTTTATTAACTAGTAACTTTAAAAATCTAATTTGTAGTGCTTCAAGCTTATCAATGTAGATTTTGAATGTAAGACCGTAACTGTCAAGGGCGTATCCCAAAATCGAATCTACCAATGAAAAATATAAGCATTTTAAAGTAGCAGAAGGAACTTTAAAGCTTAAGTGATAAAATTTGCTTAGAAGTAATCTTAACTTATTACAAATATAATCTACATGGCTGGACCACGAGAAGTTAGTATCAACTTTAACACCGAGGTAGCTTACACAATCGACTTTTTTGATAGGCTCACATTGACAACTATTCTGACCATTATGGAGGCATTCAAAGTTATGACTATACATTTGAGGAGACGAGTCAGTATAACACATATAAGGTGACTGAATGATAAGAAACTTGGTTTTATCTGAGTTTAAGACGATGCCATTATCATGAGACCATTTAACTACCGAATCTATATCTTGCTGTATTAGGTGACACGTCTCCACTAGATTGGTACCAGCCCGTAGTGTACATAGGTCATCTGCGAACATGTATGCAGAGGAATACTGAAGAACGTCACATAGGCTATTAACATGTAGTAAGTAGCAAATAGGCCCACACCCCGAACCTTGTGGCACCCCACATTTCACCTCATGCGCCTCACTAAGCGTGTCACCAACCTTTACACGGAAAATGCGCGATGTGAGATAGTCACGGAACCACTGGTTTAGCGGCTGTCCCACGCCACATTCGTCCATTCCATTTAAAAGTGTTTCTGTATCTAAGGTATCAAATGCTTTTTTGAAATCGTAAAAAATAGCAACAACAAATTTTTTATTTTCTAAATTCGAATTAATTTCATCAGTGAATTTTGATAATAAAGTATTAGTGCTTTTGCCCCTCTGAAAACCGTGCTGACATTCATTTAATATGTTATTTTTTTGCAAATAAAACCCTAGTTGATTTGTTATGCATTTCTCGATAATTTTGTCAATACTTGATAATATAGCAATTGGTCTATAGTTTGAAAAAACTTTTCGATCACCCTTTTTATGGACTGGACGAATTATGGCTTCTTTTAATTTATTCGGAAACCTATGTTGCTTTACCGACATGTTAACTATATTAGCTATGACGGGACTTACTTTGTCAACAACTAACTTTAAGTCTGACATCCGTACGAGATCAGTTCCCGGCGATTTATTTTTATCTAATTGATTAATCACACGTTTGACTTCTCCATTACTGACCGGTTGCCATCTCATACATACATCAGGTCTATCCACGTAATTGTCCCTTACTAACCATTTTTCTGTACATGTGTGCCTTATGAGGTCAACTTCACTTAAAAAGTTATCAGCAAACTTATCACAAATTTCTTTTACATTGCCTTGGTTTTCCATATTAGACAGTATTAAGTTGTCTAGTGATTTTCTATCATTACCCAATAAACTATTTATCTTATACCATAATTTCCTTATATTTTTGTTACAGTCTAGTATATTCTGTTTATCATATTCCATCTTACATTTAAAAATTGCCTTACTACATTTATTCCTATATTTAGTATAATTCAATCTTTTTATCATATTTTTTGGTTCATTGCACCATATAACAAATAACCTATCTCTTTTCTAACACTTTTATTTACCCCAACTGTTTGCGATTTGTAACATTCATTATAAATATTAGTAAAAATACTAGTAAAAGCTTCGTACAACTCAACTGGACACTTAATGTGTAATAAATCATCAAAATTTGTTAAAAGTAATTTTTCTCTAACCAAACGATTATTCAGAACGCACCTATTAACAGAGCGCATTGGCATACGACTATCAGAGTGGGTGACATGACTCACAGAAGGAGCGCGTTTCCTTTGTATCGCTGCCGTGATATAGTAGTGGTCAGATACCTTATGTTTTATTACAGCTGATTCAAGCAATGATAAGGGTGCCCTTATATAAATATGGTCCAAACACGATTCTACAATGTTACCCATGACTATTTCCCTTCGTGTTACGTCACATATGCACCTGGCAAAACCATATTCCGCCATTATATTTTCATACAATTTAACATTGTTATCGTGGTATTTTAAAAGGTCTATATTTATGTCACCACAGATTATTGCTTTTGAGTGCTTAGGTAATTTGCCCAATAGATTTCTTAATTCAACAAAAAATTCTCGAATTCTGTCTTGGTTGCGGAATCGAGGAGGCCTATAAATAGAAATTAAATAAATATGCTCCCCATTAACGTTGAGTGTAATGGAAACGCACTCCGCCGAGCGCATAACACTTGTACTACTCGCGAGCTCAGCCGTTTCGCTTACACGCGCAGTGAGCTCAACCCGCGAATACACAAGTACACCCCCTCCGCTGCGTCCCTGTCGAGTATAAATATTAACTTTGAATCCAGGAATTTTGTAGAAAGATAATACAGAATAATTTATGTTTGGTTCAGTTATCACTATGACATCCAATTGGCTCAAATCACTACCGAGAGTAACTAGAAATTCATTGAAATGTTTTTTTAAGGATCGAATATTTACATGTAATAAACATAAGTCTTTGATATTGTGCAATTGTTGCACCCACGTATTTAAGCTATCAAGACACGAATAACTTACAGATTCATCGTGTAATATGGAGTCTATATTGCTTATGTCCGCGAACTTTATATGACAAATAAACACTATAATAACTAACTATAATTATATTTTCACTTTTTGTTGAGTAGATCACAAATATCACTTTCAGCTCGCACGCATATTGCTTTTTCACCTTCACATTTCTTCACAAGAATTTTCCCGTTCGAAACCCATATGTATTTGTAAATTCCTTGGAGCTGTTTCTTAGTACACCATAGTAGGGCTCGCGTTATCTTAGTCAAGTCTTCGTTTATGTAGATTTTGTTCAAAGCCGAACCATTTGTAATCATATTACTCGTCGTTTCTGATAAGTTGCGACGTTGGGCAAGCCAGCTGTCCCTCGACCTGGTACCTGTAGTCTTAAAGCCCACGATAATGGACGCTGGTTTGGTACTTTCTTTTCGTGATCGAGTACGTCTAGCCCATTCTATATCCGAACTGCTCACATTGATAATATCTCCTATTTTTGAGACAATCTCTGTGACATTTTCACCGGGAAGCTGTTCAATACCTACAATCTCAATATTGTTTTTACGAGATGCCTGCTCGAATTCGTGTAATTTTTGTTCGAGGGCGGTATTTTGTTTTTGCAAATAGACGCTTTTGTTGCTGACATCAGCGATAGTTTTCTCAAGCTTATGTATTTTATCTTTTGATTGTTCATGTTCTACGATCAATATATCATACTTATCGGAAAGCATACTCAAACTTTGCGTAATGGAATCAAGTTGTTTTTTGAACCCGGGAATAGCAGCCACTTTTAGCTGTATGTCCTTGAGAATTTTAGTGTAGTCCTGTGAGTATTCCTCTTGTTCTTCTTCTTCCGATCCATCGTCTTCACAGTTATTACAATAGATCCGATTCCTCCCATTTTTTATGTCCGCCATAAGACCCTTAACACAACCTCTATGAAAAGTTCCTTGACACGGTCCTTGGCAAATGAAGTGAGATCCTTTTTTAGCTAAATTCTTTTTACATTTTTGACACTCCATTTTTGACGCGTATTCAACAATTACAGATATGTAGGTATATCGAAAGATTGCGCGAGCGCACCGCTTAAGGAATTCCCTGCGCGCGTACACTCGGGTCAGCGTTGAGAATGAGACTGAAGACTTAACAATTGCGTTGATTTTGGCGAGAGTCTTTAGACTTTATTTTTTGCTTACTGTGCAGGCACTGATTTATAAGTTCTCTTGCGTTTTATATAATGTATCAATCGCGTCAATTAATCTCTTTTATTTTTAGAATTGATGTTAGCAGCGCCATCTCTCTTTAAATATATACATATAATAAAAATGATGATAACATGTTGTGTCGCTTTCTGTACATTGTATATATATTTTGGTGGCTAAAATCATTATGGGGAACTGAAAATAATTAAATAAGAATATTTTATAATTTTTAGAATTGTCTGTCTGTCTATTTGTCTGTTATTATATGAACGCATCACGTCTAAAGTAAACATCTTTTATTTTCAAAGAAATCGTTAAGAAAATCATAAAGCGTATCTTCGAGTTACATTTAATCTTTGTTTTATTAAAATTGGTTAATTCTATCGAAAGTAATGATTATTATTTTGAAATGTAGGTTCGAATTTGTTCAATGGCGCCATAAAATCTCAGAAATAGTAATAAAAAGATTTGTGTGTAAAAAAAACGTTCCATAATAATTAATATATTTATACTTAAAACACAAAAAGAGATTTAAAAAGGATGTTTTCTCACACAAAGGACGTAATAGATGGAGTTGTAGAAATTACAAACTTTTCTGAATTGCTGTGTTGAGATTTTTCGCCGATGAATCGTATTGAGACACTGAAGAAATTTGTATCCATCGAAGCCATACAACGGAACCCGACCAAAAATAAAAATTTTGCAACGAAATGTCGTGATATTGTATTTATAATATACGCAAAATCAGTACTGTCATTTTAGCGCTTTGGGAACTAGATTTAGCGCTTTTTTGGAATGTATAGCGCGCATTTTGAAATTTTAGCACCTAGCTTAATCCAGCGCTTTTTGGTGTATTTAGCACACATTTCAATATTTTAGCGACTAGCGGGTTATTAACTCTTTTATAGCAGCACTGATAGTTCACATTACCGATAATAATAATAATGACCTTTATTATTTTTTCCCACAAATAGTACATTGCAGTTTATTTTTTTCAAACATATTTTTTCCACAAAACAAAGAGCATGGGAGACGAGTCCAAACTAGGATACCCTGTGCTATGGATCTCCTGGCTTCCCCTTTAGGATGATCAACTTGATTTTTTTACCGACGACTATAAGCGGGGAAATCCCCTTTATTAAAGTTTTCGTTCATGGTTTTGGCAACGCATTTATTTTGCTTTATTCAGTTTCAGTCAGTTGCTTAGAGTACAGCTAAGTTAAAAGTTACTTAGAAGTTATAACACAAAGAAACTGTGTAGCAACCGCAATCAGATGCTGACATCTGAAACTAAGTTGCGAAATACATTGAACTTTAAAACAATTAATGACATTTTTATTGTTCGTACAGTACTAACTACTATTGACAGCAATTGCCATAATTATAAGTCGATGTCCTGCGAAGTATTGATACATAAAAAATATTGCCAGAAAAAAAACTTAATGTTGTTTTCTTTATTATGATTATATAAAAAAACACAAACTTTGTTTGTAGTTAATTTAGCGCGAAATCTAGGGCTTTTTTAAAGCGCTGTTTTCATGAAATCTAACGCTTTTTGTATTGTCCTAGAGCTGAATGAGTTTTTTTTTTTTTATCTGGCAGTACTGCCCAAAAACCCTCTATTAAGAAGTAACTTTCCTTTCAGTTTTAAGCGCGTTCAGTTCCCAGTTACAGTGAGCGTGTGTTATGCGATGACCGTAAATAAAGCGCAAGGTCAAACTTTACGCGTTGTGGGAGTGTACCTCAGTACTGACTGTTTTGCACATGGCCAACTTTATGTTGCTTTTTCCCGCGTTAGTAGCCCCCGTAACCTTTTTGTGTACACCCCGGCTAAGCCTACTTCTAACGTCGTTTACACAGAAGCTCTATCATAAACGACTTAGAACTTTGATGATAATGATTTATTTAGTTACCACTTATTGATACAGTAAAGAAATAAATCGTTTAATATTCTCTTACCTAAACGACAAATTCTTTATGTAAAACCTGTATACGCGAGCTACGCCGCGGGCACAGCTAGTTTTATAATAAAAGAGAAAACCGTTTTTGATATCCGCTTGCATCGATATAATTGTCAATTGCAGACTTAAGTGCTGATTTGCTATGTGTCCAGCGGTGAAGAAAAACATCGCAAGAAAACCTGCATTTATGAGACATATTCTTTTTGTCTCATAAATGCAGGCTTATAAATGTCGCCAACACGCATTGGGCAGCATCTCAGAAGTGAAAACAGGTAAGTCCTGAATAGAACAATGGAGATAAAATAAAGCTCCCTGAACTGTCACAAGTATATTTCTGATACAATTGCAGTTGGTACAATTTGGTTGCGATGAAACTAATTAACTTGACGCCCGTCAAGATAATTAGTTTCATTGCAACCAAATTGTACCAACTGCAATTGTATCAGAAATATACTTATTACAATTATCTTGACGGGCGTCAAGTTAATTAGTTCTTTGAACTCGTCATAACGAACGTGCAAGTATTTATATATTTGAATTGAACCAGAATTAAAGAATATAAACAATTATTACAAACTAATTATGTATGGTTTGAGATATAACAGATTATAATATATTATTGTTTGTTACACAAATAATGTATAAATAGATGAATGTATGTTTATATTAAGATAGGCATATTTTTTTTTATAGAAAAGGGGGCAAACGAGCATGCGGCTCACCTGATGGTATGTGACTACCGCCGCCCATGAACAACCGCAACACCAGGGGAATTGCAGATGTGTTGCCGGCCTTTTAGAAAGGTGTAAGCTCTTTTCTTGAAGATTCGTAAGTCGTATTGGTTCGGAAAATTCGCTGGTGGTAATTGATTCCACAAGGAAGTTGTGCGGGAGAGAAAACTTCTTCTAAATTGCACAGTGGTGGACCGCCAATCATCCAGATGGTATGGATGGTAACGCGACTTTTGTCGCGATGTGCGATGGTGAAATTGAGCGGCTGGAATCAGTCCGAACAATTCCTCACAGCACTCCCCGTGATAGATGCGATAAAATACGCAAAGAGATGCAACATCTCTACGCAGTGCTAGTGTATCGAGCCGATCAGAAAGAACTCGGTCGTCGATGATTCGAACCGCTCTGTGCTGGATGCGGTCAAGTGGAAGGAGCTGGCACTGGGGTGCCCCGGCCCAGAGATGAGAACAGTATTGCATGTGGGGCCAAACTTGCGCTTTGTAAAGTTGCAAGCGATGTGCCGGCATGAAATACCATCTCGCTCTGCTGAGCACGCCAAGCTTTTTAGAGGTCAATTTGGCCTTCCCTTCCAAGTGACCACGAAACTGCACACTATTCGATATGTCGACGCCAAGGATTCCGATACTAGCTAAGGCAGCAAGGGGAGTGCCTTGAAACTGAGGAGATACGACAAAGGGGTTCTTTTTAGCAGTAAACGCGCAAACTTGTGTCTTCTGGGGATTAAACGGGACTAGATTTAGTCGGCCCCAATCCTAGATTTTGTTAAGCAAAGACTCGACTTCAGACACAAGTTTGTCCCGGTACTCAGCGACGTTTTCCCGAGAAATATAGGCACGGCCGGTATATAAGGCATCACCAGTGCTGTCGTCCGCATAGCAATGAATGCTACCAGTTAGCAACATATCATTGATATGCAGGAGAAACAGCGTGTTGGTGATAGCACGCAGCTTTGTGGAACACCAGCGTTGATAGGCTTGAAATCAGAGCATGCACCGTCTACTACGACCTTGATGCTCCGAACAGCAAGGAAACTGGTGATCCATTTGCACAATTTCTCGGGAAGCTCATAGGAAGGAAGCTACGAAAGAAGCGCCTTGTGCCAGACCCGATCGAAGGCCTTCGCTATGTCCAAACTAATACTAATATACTAAAACTAATAAAATAAACTAAAACTAACTAATGCCTCCCCCTTGGACTCTACTGCCTCCGTCCAGCTATGAGTCAGATAGACTAGAAGATCACCAGCTGATTGACCTCGACGAAAACCGTACTGGCGGTCACTAATCAGCTGGTGATCCTCAAGGTATCTCATGAGTTGGCAGTTTATAATGGATTCCATTATTTTGGAGAACAAGGAGGTGATGGCAATAGGCCTGTAGTTGGACGGGTCTGAGCGGTCGCCTTTTTTAGGGATCGGGTGGACCAAAGCTGTCTTCCATGAATTCGGGACTACGGCTTGGGAGTAGAATTACTGGAAAAGACGTGTTAAAACCGGTGCCAACACTGGAGCACAAGTCTTCAGCACAGTGGGAGGGACTCCATCGGGCCCACTCGACTTGCTGACGTCCAGGGATAAGACTTTTCGAACCGAGCGCTGTGTAAACCGCACATCCGGCAGAGAGCACTCACATCGCGGGATGGTCGGCGGTGTGTTCCCCCCATCATCTAGAGTCGAGTTGGACACAAAAAGAGAGCTCAACAGATCGGCTTTCTCCTTTGCGGCATGGGCCAGTGAGTCGTCCTCTCTGTGCAGAGATGGAAGAGATGGCTGACAGAAGTTCCCTTGGACAGCCTTGGCGAGAGACCAGAATGCACGGGTTCCTGAAGGAAGGCGAACTAGCTTCTCGCCAATTCTGCCGATGTGCTCAGACCTTGCCTTGGCAATGACGCTTCTGAAGGACCTGGAGGCGGAATTATACTTCTTTTTAAGTGCGCTGGTGTTTACATCCCGAGACGTTGATGCGTCAGCCCAGGCCCGGTAGCACTCCGGCTTATAGCGTGATGCTATTTTACAGGAGCGACCAAACCATGGCTGGGATCTGCCTCCGATAGGCACCACAGAGGATGGAATAAAAAGTTCCATACCCTGAAGTACCACATCAGCAACAGAATCAGCAACAACGCTGGGATCTTCCGGCGAGAAGCAAACCCGCCCCCAAGGGTAGAATGCAAAAAAAAGACCGCATCCTGTCCCAATCAGCTGACCTATAGTGCCAAACACGGCGGCAAGCTGCAGATCGCAACTGCACTTGGAGCGTGTGTGGCACCGTACTCCGATCAGACAATGGTCCGAAGAGCCCAGAGGGGCATCAACGGAGATCTTATATCCGTCCGGATGAGAGGTCAGCAGAAGGTCCAACAGGGAAGGTACATGGTCTTCCACATCTGGGATCCGCTTAGGCGAAGTAACCAGTTGTGTTAGACCATATGCCAAAGCAAAGTCATAGACAGATCTACCCGCATGTTCGGTTAAACGAGAACCAAGCCATTCAGCGTGGTGGGCGTTAAAATCACCGAGTATCACGATCTCTGCGGATGGGACCTGTTGTAGCACGGAGTCTGCAGCCATTTGGACGTGGTCGATGAGTCGGTCTGTGTCGGCATCACCGCTGTGGGACCTATAGAGGCACCCGTAGACGCGGGGATGGTCGTCGCTGTCTACGCGCAGAATTATATATTACAGGAGCATGTACCTACTATGAAGATTTACTATTTCCAACAAGTTAGCATAACCTTTTAAACTCAATGAATGTTGTATGGCCTATTTTTGTTACGTTGTAATACAGTATAAAAATGTTTATCTCCAATAATGCTTACGCTTAACCTCTTTTAAGCCAAGCAATTTTCGTGTTTATTTCGAACACGTAAAAAAGTGCTACGTGCAGGGGTTCAAAATTAAACTAGGCGATGTCTCACAGTTCAGGGATGCCATATTTTTCCCGAGTTCAAATAACAGCTTAAAGTTTTAATTTACGACCTCTGTCCCACATACGCGAGATAGTAAAGTATTATATATTATATACTCGTAAAATGCCGCATGCCGGGGTTCCTTTGTAGTAAGTTGTTTTTAAATTATTTCAGTGTTAAGTACGATACCTGCGATATACTAATTATCACTTTTTGGATTATTAATCAATTATCAGCAGCTTATCAAAGTATATTGCTTAAAATAAGTCTCCGGCTTAGATAGTCTTATAATTTGTCTTAATTTGGGGGATATTTGGGGAACATTTGCAACGCTTGTCAAGCGATTTGGCGACCTTGGTTTTTTATTTTTAGTCCTTATTAGGAAGACGCTACCGCCCATCTCCTGATTTGTTTGCCTCTGTCGCCTCTTCTGACACTCACGGGATGATATGGGTTTTTTTTTATAGAATAAGGATGACAAACGAGCACACAGTCCACCTGATGGTAAGGGGTTGCTGCAGTCCATAGACTATCTTCTACATCTATCTTCGTTTGCGAATTAAAATACAGATGCGTTGTCAGCCGTGAGGACTACAATAGAATGCCTCTTTTCCAGTAAAAAGGATCTCCGGTTCTCTACACTCACCATACGAAACACAGCAGCATTAGGCTGCTATTTTACGCTGGTATTCTGTGAGAGCATGGTCCTTCCCCGGTCGAGCCGACCCATTCGTGCTACAACTATACTATTAATATAGCTGCAGCATGGCACTACCACGTATATGTAGTAGATATAGTATGGGTAGTGGATATTGTTACTAGAATATCCGCCACAATATATAAATAATTTATTTAAAGATAATTGATACACCCAAAACCCAAGTGTTCCTTATTAGTCGTTTGAATCCTTGTTTAGTAGTTATGTATAAAGTTATTATTTATGAAATATCAGGGAATCCTTTAAATAAATGCATTTTATTGTTAACATTGTATACTATTACAAACCTATAACGATTACCCTTATAACCTATGGTCATTAGACGTTAAGAAATTAGGTCAACCTAATTTATTATCAACAACGAGGCTACGAGAAATTTGAAGAATAGGTTTTTAACGATGTATTGTCATCGCTCTGTGCTCGAACAATAATCTAGATAACTAAGAGAGACAACTGTAACTTGGACTGATGATATCTATGAAAAATTTGTAAAATAATAATCACGTAGGCCCCTATTTCCTCATCTAAAATTAGATTGATTTAAATTTTTGAAAACAACATAAGCAGGGTTGTCGTTATGTCTTTATGTTTTTCTTTAATTTGTATGCTTATTTTCTTTATCGTTTTTAAAATATTAAATTATTGAAGAAATAAATCATTAAGCTCTGGTACATTATTCTAGTGTAAACCCCAAGTAGAAATCAGAACGGTATGAGTACGTTTGTATGTACTGAACGTCCAGCGCATTCAATCCATTTAAATCGACAATTAAGGGGTTATTGACCAAGATTCAAGTGAGTTTATTTTACATAACGGTCTCGTATATACATCAAGTATATACGAGATCGTTAATAAAACTCCCAAGCACATGTCCTTGTTGCATTGCGACCGCCAATCCATCTACCAAGCGTGGCGATTAATGGATCATCTCCCTACTATCGAATGTCCAGTAACAGAATTTTAAAAAGCTGATAAGAATAATAATTGTTATTACTTTATTCACTGATCATGAAGAAAAATAATGTTTGTCACTGTCAAATAATTTAAAAAAAACGTCTTTACATTTCATTACTCTGTGTGTGCAAACGCTACAGCTTCAAATGTCGATGGAAAATTAAATAGAGCGAGTAATAAGTGTACTAACTGTAAATAAAATGCTGTAATTGCTCTAAGTTTGAAGTGGAAAAAA